AGAGAGAGAGAGAAATAATTTCAGATATCACAAATTTTTTCTTGATTACGAATTCTTTGACTTAAGCGACTGGTTAAAGAATCCGGAGAAAAAAAATACAGTGTGAATCTGGAACTTTTTGTACAAACATTTATTTTAACTTTTTAATCCTACAGTACTTGTGCGGCATGCTATGTAAGATTTATTATTCATGTTTGCTTATCAAATGCATTGATTTTGCATTAAATTCGCATTTGACGCTAGATTATAATATATTTTAATTATAAAGATATTTGTTGCAATTTTTATATCAAGCTGTGACAGTACTGGAGGGTTTAAAATAATGTTATTTATCAACGGAGCTATATAATCTTGTTATTAGAGAGAGAATTTGTTTTTAAGGAATTATATAATATATATACATATATACATATTTTCTAGATTATAAAATGCTTTATAAATATTGTCTTTTAATTAGATGATTGTCTTTTAATTGTCTTTTAGTAAGATCTTTTGTTATTTTATATATCGTATATATCTATTATTTAATGTTTTTTTTTATTGGACAAATCGTTATTCAATATCGGTTTTCGTATTAATTTATATTGTCGGATAATCGACGTTTTACTGTACAACTTAGAAATAGTTTGATTTTCCATGACATGTACTAAAGCCAATAATTGCCGCACAAACGCGCGCATTTATAATTAAACAATTAATATATGCACTTATGTATTGAACCCGTCAGAGAAAAATGTAATAATTTTGTGGCCGTATTTCGGCCACAGATTTATATAATCTTTTGTAGCTTGTTTTTATACAGGAATTTATGTTAAATGCATGTTTGTTACATTTTTTATCATATATATGGAATTATAAATATTGGAACATGTATCATTATTATTATTATTATTGCTAAAATCTTATTATTGTTGTTGCTATTGCTGCTACTTCTACTATTGCAATCACGATGCTATTATTAAGTCATTCTCTTATCCTATTACTATCGCTCTCAAATCTCTTTCTGTCTATACATCTATTATTGATATCTTCATTATATCATTATTTAGTATTATTGCGCGAGTGGCATTGTTGTTAGAAATACTTTAATTATGCCGGTGTTGCAAATACATTATATTAATTGCGCCTGCAAAAATGTTTAATAGTTAGATATATAAAACATATCAAGAACGTCACACGATTAGCATAACATGCGTTTTTCGAATTTTTCTTATTTTTTATTTCCTTGTAGGAGATCGTAGTTACCCATGAGCATAATTAACAAGGTCTACGCATTTAATATTAGTAATGTTTAGTGAAACCCCCGAGAGAGATTATAGCAAAATTATTTAATTCGTTTGTACATTACATTCATATTCTTGTGTATACAAGTTTTTTTTATCATTGTTGATTTATGACGATACACACACATACACACACACGATTTGAAATTGTATGTAAGATGGTTTCTTTGTGTTACGCACACAATTTAAAGTTGTCAATCTATTCTGGTATATTCGACGAAGACTCTTTGGTAGCTGTACATTGATTCTTTTATAAAACCTTATGATACGTTGGAAATATACATTTTACTGTTAAGAGGACTATGTATCATATTCTGCAAAAAAGATTTATTATCAGGATATTATTCATAGTTATGAATGATTATAGCATTCAGCTCGCGCATTCTTCGCTGTACTATAATTGTATAGCGCGGACGTGTAAGGGAATGATTCATATAAGAATCTGAATGATTCTTTCAAAGTGTGTAAAGGTGATGAACCTAGACAAATTTTTAGTAGATAATTTAGATAAGACAAGTGCAAGATGTGCTAGAGGATACACTTTTTATCGTACTGACATATATATATTATATATATATGTATGTGTCGAGAAAGTGTTGAGAGGAGACGAATTTTTAATTTGAGGAATTGGAAACGGAAGCCTCGCTTGCCATATGTAATCTTAATAAAACATTTTCAGATGGCTTCTGTGTGTTCTTTTTTCTCACTATAAGTTTTAAATAACTTTAAAAAATAAGTTTAGTGATTTTTATATATACGAAAATTAATCGATACCAATACTTTTTATCTGTATTAAAATATTAATAGAGATTTTAGATCGTTTTTAATTTATTTCTTTTGCTTTTTAATACGCTAATATATAAAAGATTTCTTATACTTTCAAACAATAATTCTAGCGTATTAGATACCATAATAGATTCATTGAATTCCTTTGGAATGCATTATTGAAATTTGATTACAATGTGTGAGTAAATTTGCAAGTATGTTGCAAGCATATTGGCATCTACAGTATGGCAGACGCATTGAGAGAGAGAGAGAGAGAGAGAGAAAGAGAGAGAAGTAAATACACATACAGAAAGTGACGTTTACAGGATTACAATGTGGTTGCGTTCAACAGTTCGATGAAACTTGTAATATCTGCTGAAGATACGTAAATACTTCGATGATAATCTAAGTTTAAATTAAATTTGTATTAAAAAATCACTTCATTTATCGATTTGTCATATTGAAACAATTTCGTAAATCGCATTAAAATCTTTTTAAATAATTCGATATTACAACTCCTTTATTTATAATTCAAACTCATTCTACAGTTCATAGAAAAACGCATGACATCTCAGGCATTCTGTGCGTGCCAATTGCGTCACACATTCGACATGCAAAAGAACGTCACGATCTGTTCTCATTGAATCAAGGATTATGAATCATACTTATGAGTAATATCTACTAAGAAAAGTACGTAATAAAGGACACGTAATAAAGAATTCTATCTTAAATATCTTATCTTATTCTATCTTAAACATCATGAAACTGCAAAATATATCTGATGTAAAGGCTTTAATCCATTATTATCTTTTTCTTTCATTTAAAAAAGAGCTAATATAAAAAATGAAATGTAAGACCAATTATTAAAATGATATATATAATTATTCCTAAAATTGTGATGTTTTTTTATAAATCGCTTTCCTATATAATTCTAGATACTTTTTAAAATAAATTCATGGAAAAGCTTCATGAAATTTATATATCCAAATTTAGAGATAAATGTTCTAGAACTTCGATATTCGAATTGGCATTTCAGTTTATATAAATTATCATCATATAATACATTTGTGATTTACAGTAATGATGCAATTTAGTGAACATAGTCCAACGATGTAATACCGGCTTTATCTAGTCCGACTTTCGGTATCTTACATAACAAATATTGTTTACATTATATTCTTATCGATCTCGTAGAAGGCATCAATCTAGCGGTTTACTCGCCATCTTTTGGCTCTCTACAGGATATTCTGTTCTCCACGTCACTACTTGATGCTACGTCGTCAACCCCACCAACATACATTTTCTCTAGTCTCATGCTGTCCTTAATATCATTGCTGTCAGAACGTTTGCATGTAGTCAGTGAAGTATTCTTGTTCGTATAAATCGCGACGAAGAACGACTTCCTGAACCGGCGTCCGGTGCAGATTGTCAAGGAAATTGAAATATAAGTAAGTAAAGAATATTTAAACTGTATTATGATTTAATTAGCCAGCATTTTATATATTTCGATAAGAAAATATTTATGAAATTATATAATAAACTTTTGTACATTTCTGTAATTATGTGAGTATATTTAAAAATTTATGTAAAAATTTTATTTAATATTTTTTGTAAAATATTGATAACAGTTTGCGCAATTAATCTCTTAAAACTTTTCGGCAAAACAATAACAATATATAACAATATATTGAATCATCTTAGTACAATTATTGTGAAATTTTTCGTCAATTTATGATACCATTTTCGTATAACGTTTGCACAATTTATCTATCGGGATAAATTGTTATTAAAATTAATGTATTAATAATATAATTATTTAAGACTGAAAATTATTTGAAAGGAAAAAATGTTAAAGGTTAATGTGCTATTTTATTTATACATTTAATATCTTTTCCTTGAGATTAAAGAGCATTAAGTTTGTATCAATCATTTTGAGAATTAGAGATTGAGTAACGAACAAAAGTTACGACGTATTTCCGCCACATCACTTGCAATTATATTAATGGACTGTGTGTGTGTGTGTGTGTGTGTGTGTGTGTGTGTGTGTGTTTGAGGTGTGAGATACATGTACACATATATATATCTCACACCTCAAATACACCTTTTCCTTTTAATGATATAATAATTCATATTATCGTTAATGTTTCATGTTACAAGCATCATTCTTACGAACCGAACAATCAGTATCGATTTTATGTTTCTTGCATTAGATCTATTTTCCGGCGCCACATTGTTTCGAAGGCGAAAGTTTTAGCAAGGACCTTCCAAGGCATTCCTAGCTAGAAAAATTACAATTTATTGCGATCAGTTTTAAATTACTGACGGAAATAACAAAAGCAAGCACTAAATTAACAAAATCAATTTTGTTAATTCAATATATTATAATTGTTAAATTAATATTATTACACATATTATTATTTATTACCAAGGCAGGAATAAGAAAAGCATGGATGTGTAATGTTAACGGTTCCATAATTCAAACAGAATAATTAGAAACTATTCGCAATGATGTTTTGTATTTGGAGATCATGCGAAAGTTACGAGCCAAATGATTTAGTGTCTCGCCCGCCTATTCTACGTTAAGTCATCCAATTCCGCGTTTGATCCGGCAAAAAATACCGGATCATCGTTCGGTACCTCCGTGAGCTGCCTTCGTAGTCGTTGAACGCGTATTTGCCCCACCAATGGAATTTCTTTCCTCTTCTCTCTGCTATGCTACTCCTCGTCGACATTGGCTCCCAGCAACGGTGAACGCTGGGTGCGAGCCGTTAGTTAGTCGGCCACCAGAACCGATACCGTTCTCCGGAAAAAGCGCATTGCTGTTGTAAAGGTAAAGCAAGCCACACCCTAAGTGTCATTTCGCCGGTCCAATCGATATGATCCTTGCGATATCTTGCGAAACAGCGTGCTCTTCTCTTCGGCATCTAAATCAAAAAGCGATACAATAATTATCTAGCAAATGAACGCAGGGTGTTACTCGATGAGATCATCGTCGCTAACGTGAGACGTATATCTGAACCGAGCCAAGGACGCGAACAATGCGTCGTCGTGTCGCGTGTTTACACACATTAATCGCGACAGATGAAATTTATCACCGCATTTATCGTCGCTCTTAATATAATTACAATCATGACTTTCGCGTTACAATCCGTAATTAAAATGTAACCGTAATTAAAATGCAACAGATTTCAGTTGAGCAATGAAGCCACCCATATTTTTTAAGAAAGAGTTCTCTTAGATAAATTCTAGCATCAATAAATAATCCATATATTTTCATTCGCTTACTTCTCCATTTATTTAAATTAGAAATAAAAATTTTATATTTATATGCATTTCTTATTTAGAGTATTAACTTGACATTAATTATGGTTTATACGATCATGAATATTATTATTTTAAATATTATTATTTATTATTTTAAAATTTAATTCATTTTCATAGTCTAATAACGGCGGATACCGGTGATTAGCGCAACACTCAATGTATTAATACTTTAAGATCTAAAGATCATATGGAATGTTTCAAAGGCTTTCAGAATCATCCATTTATAATTTTTCTCCTCAAATTCGATATTAATCATTGATAGATTAACAAATTCTAGATCCTAAATCTTACTATTTGATATAAAATATATATTAATGTGCTTTCAGATAATCAACGAGATGGCAGCCAGTCAGTATTACCACGTACAGGTAATTATATGTTAATTCATGGTCTCGCAATCATGACTGAGCAAGACAAATGATTCATCTCTCTTTATCTCCATTCTATTTTAATTTCTTACCGATACGAATGGGTGGCTTTTATAACTTCTGCAATATATTTCTAAACTTACAGGAAGATAAAGAATGCTATCCAACGAAGAAAAAAAAATTTACTAACATAATAAATAAAAATATTCATTTGTTTGCCATGTGTTGTTATGTTTTGTTATGCCTTTTTGCATATTATTTAATAAAATTAATCTTATAAACAATTATGTATTTCACACGTATTAATTATATTAATGATATCAATAAACGCGGTATAAATGTTAAAATCAGTGTCGGCCACCGGTCGATGTCATGGTGATGAATGTGTTAAGAGAAACAAATTTAAATATTTTTTTTATATTATTATTTGTGCAAAAGATTCGTCTAATATTTGTCAAATAAAATTGAAAATAAAATTGGAATTTCGAAATCAAAGCGAAAAAATCGAAACAAAATTGTCAGATTTTAGTTTTATTCAAAAGGAATGTTGTATTTTTGTTTTTAAAAAATCTAGTTTCCTACAATTATTCAAAATCTAGTTTCCTATAAATTATTCAAAATATAGATAAAGAAAGACGATAAATCTTTTACATTTCTTGAAATTTAATATATAGAAAAAATAATAAGGCAACAACAAATAATAAGCACTACAAACAAGTAATAAATTAATTAAACTCTATTATGTTGATTGCGCGATTTTAATTGAAAAATAAATTTAATTAAAAAATAAATAATTAAAGAACTATGCTTATCATTCATTGGAAGACGAGATACCGATAATCATTCTGAATTTCGCAAAAAGATACGAGCTGAAAATAATTCCAGTGCACGCCCACCGTGTATCCGGCCGATCCTTTCGATCCCGAAGCTGATGCTACCCTTCTGCGAACTGCGATGAAGGGTTTTGGCACTGATGAGCAAGCCATCATCGACGTTTTAGCTCATCGAGGTATTGTGCAGCGATTGGAGATCGCCGACAAATTCAAAACCATGTATGGCAAGGATCTCATCTCCGAACTAAAATCAGAATTGTCCGGAAATTTTGAAAACGTCATCTTGGCCTTGATGACGCCTCTTCCTGAATATTATGCCAAGGAGTTACATCATGCCATTTCCGGCATGGGTACCGATGAGGGTGCGCTCATCGAGGTTCTCGCATCTCTCAGCAACTATGGCATCAAGACAATATCGGCCGTTTACAAGGATCGTAAGTTCTGATACATTATACCTCTGTGGGACCGATTTTGCTGCCCTTAAAATTATGTCGGATAACACTCTAATAAAATATGGCATTTGATATTTCTTGATTATTTGTATATTTTTTTTCTGACATTTTTTCATTGTTATTCTATATATAATTAAAAATGCATCTCATTTACCTGTTATAATTCTGTTATGTATATTTTGATTTGTTCCCTTAGTGTATGACAAAGACCTGGAAGACGATCTCAAGAGCGATACCTCCGGCCATTTCAAGAGGCTTTTGGTCTCACTATCTTGCGTAAGACTTGCAAGATAATATAAATAAATTTTTTTTATATCAATAAATCTTTAATTATAATTATAATTTGCATTTCTTACTGCGCGAATTCTCAGTTGTCCTTTATTAATTTTGTTTATATTGAGAATCTTTTTTGAAATATTGAAAGATAATATGCAATTCCACGCAATTATTTCATTAATTTTTCTTAATTCTCAGGCTAACAGAGATGAGAGTACTGACGTCGATGAAGAAGCTGCACATGAAGATGCTGAGAGACTTCTCGCCGCGGGTGAGGGACAATGGGGTACTGATGAGAGTACTTTCAATGCAATTCTCGTTACTAAAAGTTACCCGCAATTGCGAAGGATTTTTAAGGAATATGAACGCCTTGCCGGACACAGTTTGGAGGACGCTATCAAGCGAGAATTTTCTGGTTCTATCGAAGATGGTTACTTGGCTGTGGGTAAGAAATAACTAAATATAATTATTATAATAAATTATAATTAATATTATACAATTAATATAAGTATACAATTAATATTATACAATTAATATAAGTATAGAAGAATATTAATAGTCTTCTTTATATTTTCTTATGTTTATATTACTTTTATATTTATCCGTTGTGTCATTTTTTTTTCCACATACACACATATGCACGTATACAATGCATTTTTTAATAAATATTATTTTATAATTCCATTCATTTTTATTGATCTGAAATTGTAAATGATCTTCTTTCAGTGAAATGCGCGTCCGACAAGACTGCTTATTTCGCGGAAAGATTATACAAAGCTATGCGTGGCATGGGCACGACCGATTCGACATTAATACGCATCATCGTGGCACGATCGGAGATTGATCTGGGCGACATTAAGGATACATATGAGAGACTCTATGGGAAATCCCTTGCGGAAGCTATCGACGTAAGTAAAACATGTTATTTCTTTTGAAATAATTTCATGCTATTTATTATTCTGAAAATAATTTGCTTTAATTTGATTCTATTATTGTATTTCATTTTCGGTCAGATAATAGATAAAATAATACTAAAAATAATATAAAGCTAATAAAAATGGATTTTGAATGATAAATTCTTAGGCAAATTCAGAGAGTCGACTTCTTTCCTCGAATCAAATTTTGTCGAAACTGGATTCGACCTAATTCCAATGCTTTAATTCTACAATCTTTATTCATTTCTTAATACAATAATGCTTTCTCTTTAATCAAAATGTTAAATTAAATATGCATTCGCATAATAATTTTCTCACTTTTCTCACTTTCTAATTCGCATTTACAGTCGCTAAACTAAACAATAAAATGATAATAATAATTTGTTAACTCACATATACGCTGTATTTCTCAGCGCACACACCATATAACTTTCCATAAATTTCAGGACGACTGTTCAGGCGACTACAAGAGACTCTTGCTTGCCCTTCTCGGATGAAAATATTTCAATCGTGCAACAGCTCTTTTTGTTGAAAATTATACTTCAATGTCGCGAAGATTATATAGTTATAGTCTGCAAAGATCTTGGTTAATTTAGTTCCTTATATTTTGTCTGGTTAACGGTGTAATAGTTTTACGTGTAATGTTTAT